ACAATGTAGGTGCACTTGGGCTGGAAGGCGTAGGTGCCACAGACGTACAGGTGGGAGGCATTGTACGGCTGCAGGAAGCGGATGAAGTTGAAGCACTCAGTCTAGGGGCAGAAAGGAGTCCGGTTAGTGAAAGCACCAAGGCAGAAATGGGAGGAGACACTATGGGGCAAAGGCAGCACCAGGCACCGCATCCAAGCACCCACCTGGTTGTTCTTCCCTTTCTGCATACACTCAGTCTTTTTCTCCACAGGGGCCTCCCAGGAGATCTGAGGACAGGAAAGAGGACATCAGCCTCATCACAGGTATGGACTAAGCACACATCACAAGCACAGCCTGCAGCAGCAACACAGGGATACCCAGTGCAGAGGCGGGTCCCCATTCTCTGGGTGCTTCTTTCAGTACAGAACAGAAGCCCCCAACCGCCCCACTACACAGAATCCAGTAAGTGCCAGAGAGGAGACGAAGGCCACATGCTGACCGCGACCAGAGAGCAGGCCCCGGATGCCCAGCAGCACTTTTGTGGGGGCAGCCAAGCACAGGCCTTCTAAGTCCTGCCCTCTTTAAGGCCTGACTGCCTCCCGCTGCCCCACCTCTCACCGCTCCTTGCAGCTCCAGGGCCTCCATGCTGAAGGCAAACAGGGCCTCACGGGCCCCCACATACAGAAGCCCAGTCTGCTCCGTCAGCGTCAGTGTCAGGAAGTCCTGGATGCCCGTCTGGGAGAACCGCCGCACCACTGTGGCCAGTTCTGCAGGGGTAAGCATGGCTGCTGATGGGCAGGGCCCCTGGGGCTCAAGGCACCCCTCAGTCTTCCTCCATGTAACAGACTCCTGGACCTCATACCCCAGTTCCCCACACTAGAGCCAGCACCCCATGCCATAAGCAGATGCCAACCAAACCCCCTGATAAAAGACACTTTTGAAATAGGCTTTGGCCCTGACAGCTCCACCCAGGCCTCCCTGGCCTTTCCCAGCCTGGGAGGAGGCAAATCCAGGCTGCTGGGAGGAAGGAAGGATATCTCAGCCACAGCTTCCGGCCAGAGCTCTTGCTCTGAGGGTCAATGGCACCTCCAGCCGCAGGGCTAGGCGTCCCCACCCCACCGTCGCTTCCTTGCCCGCTGCTTCCTTCTTTGCCCTGCTGCCCACTGCCTCTATCAGAGTCCAGCAGGGCAGTAGCCACAGATGGCTACAAGTACTCCCTACCTCAGGAAACCCTTCACTCCAGCAGAACCCCAATCCAGGCTGCCAGAGATATGAGCACAGCAGGCCACTAGGACAGGCAGGGATGGAAGGAGGGGAGCCTGGCTATGATCCAGGCCAGGGAGGTCCAGAGAAACCAGAGGATGAGGGACCGGAGATGGGCCTGGGCCTGGGAAATCTTGGTGCCACCCAGCATCCAGGGCACCACGACATTTACATAGACACGTGATTCCTACATCAGCTGCCAAATATAGCTGCTGACCTGTCTTCAGGGTCCCCCCAAACCAGTCTTAGTCTTTGGAGGCAACGGTGGATCCAGATACAAGCCGGCAAGGCAGGGCTTCATAGGCACCTGAGTGGAGCCTGTGGGAGGTGAGCTCATCCCAGGTCCCCAGAGCGCACGGCCGATACAAACACCTGACATCACCTTTCACACGGGTGTGTGCACATGGGGCACTAACAGGTCCTTGCTGTGCCCTGGCAACCATGTGAGCTCCTGCATATACACACACCCTTCCGGGGCCACCAGAGGGCATGATGAGTACCGGGCAGGAGGAGGTCTTAGGGGGTCCTGGGGAGCAAGCCTCCAGTTTATGTCTATCCTGGTTCCGGTTTCTCTTTAGGCTCCCAGCGCTAGTGACAATTCAAGAAGCGAGGCAGGGGAAGTTGAGGCATAGGGCTCTCCCTCACACATTTGGGCCGGCAGTTTGGGTTGGGGAATTGGACAGACCTCCTCCAGAGAAGGCTAATCCCAGGTCCCAACCTGCCCTGCCCGTTCTGGGCCCCCGGGGTCACTCGTGTTTCTTAGAAAGCTGTGCCACACATCAGAATAAAGCCAGCACACTATGGGGGCAACTTCTCAGCAGCCTGTCCCCACCTTCCTCCACACCCCTCCAGGCACTCACCCCCAGAAAACACTGTCTTCCGAGGCACAAGGTTCCACCACACCTCAGCCCCAATGCCCAGGCCCCACAGCCCTGCTGCCAGCAGCCAGACAGCCCAATGTGGGGCCATGGCGCACACCCCGACTCTGAGCTCCAGGCCAGCCACCCTGCTGAGGGAAAAGAAATGGTCAGAATTCGGGCCAGAGAAAGCAAACTAGAGGGGCCCGCAGCAGGAGAGGCCACGGGGCTCCTCATCAGGCCTCTCCAGGAGCCCCGGGTGCCCTTCTTCCTATTCTCTTAAGGGGTGGACCTAAGTCCCCACACTTGGCCCCTGCCCTCTCAGCCCCTAAAAGACCACGAGTCTCCCTGGGAAGCACGGAGGAGCTGAGTCAGCTTAAGGCTAAGCAGGCTCTGGGAAGCCCTGCCTGGCCTCCAGAGCCCCCACTCCCTCTTCGCAACAGGAAGTAATTTGATAAATAATAAGGTGACCCCCCCCAACACACACCCTCAGGACTAAGAGGTTTGAGTTTCTTAAAAGAACTTCAAGCAGCAGGCCTTGCAGCCACTGGGGCTCCGGCCCCCCCCACCAACACCTAATTCTGGGAGGAAAACTCCTTAGGGCGGCGAGGGGCATGCGGTGGGGTAGGCGGTCGGGAGAGCCCCACAGAGGGACCTGGTAGGGACGGCAGCAAGCGGAGGTCCCGGTCCCGGTCTGTCCCCTCCCCCAGCGCAGACAATAGCCCGGCAGAACCCCAAACCCCGTTCCACATCAGCAGGGCAGGAGTGGGAGCAAGGCCGGGAGCGAAGGGGCCCAGCTTCCCGAGGCCCCTTTGTTGCCCAAGAGAGAGGCAGGAAGTGGGTGGGATGGGCGTGGAAATGACCAGGGCCTCATCCTGTTCCTCGCACTGCCTCCTCCGAGACACCAGCCCTTTGGCGGAGGGGCGGCAGGGGGACCAAGCTCGGGTCGAATCGGGGACTCTGGCGGCGCGGGCAGGTGGCGGGGGGAGGTAGGGGCGGGTACCGGGAGGGTTCCTCCCAGGCCGCGGGCGACGCGCCGCGCAAGGTCGGCGCCCGCTGCGCTCCCGCGGCTCTGACGAACCTTCCCAACTCGGGGACTGCGCCCCAGGGACCCTGGCCTGGGCGGGCCAGCGGGATTGGCTTCCCCCGTTCCAGCCTTCCCTTGCTGGGGGCGGAGACGCAGAAACTGGGGACCTCCTCACCCCCAAACAAAGGGTCCCCGCCAAGACCCCATCCCGGGTCCCCCCAGGTTCTCCCCTCCCCCCAGCTCCAGGGATTTGAACGCAAACAAAGCGTCGGCGCGGGGAGCGTGGCGAGCCCGGCCTGCAAACGCCCCCTGTCGGCCCAGAGCCCCGGCGCGGGAGGGCGGGTGGTGGGGGCTGCGCCCCCAACCAGCCCAGCAAAACGCACCCGGCCCCATCTCGGCTCCTTACCCGAGACTCGGGCCGCACCCCGTGGCGTGCTCCGAGGATCCGCCCGCCAGCGGTGCCCACACCCGCAATTCCACGCCAGGGTGAGGAAACGGGCAGCTGGGGGGCTTGGGGGAGGGGTGCGGACTCCAGGCGGGGCGCCCCGCACCCTCGCCCACCCCGAGAGGCCAGCCGTGGACCGCGGCACTCCAGGGCGGGCACTCCAGGGCGAGCGCTCCAGCCGGGGACTGCTCGGCCCGGGAGCCTGGCTTTCCGGGACAACCCGCCTCCCCAGCGGAACGGGCGGGCGGGCAGGCTGGGGGCCGCGGCAGGGAAATCCGATCCCACAACATCGGCCTTGCTCCAAGCCCGCCCCAAACTTTCCATCGGGGTGGGAGTGCCGAGGGCAGTCCAGGAGCCTGGCGAGGATCCCGGCCGCGGACCGGACCGCGCGAGGAACCCTCACTGCCTGTGGCCCCTCGCTGGCGCGCCCCTTCGGCCCCGGGGCTGTGAGGCTGCAGGCGCTGTGCGTCCCACTCTCGAGACCCCGCGAGGTTGCCGCGGGGGGCGCAAGAAGGATCCCCGCGGACAGCCGTCTCCGCCGCCGCGGCTCCCTGCGCCCCAGCCCCTGTCCCTCCCGCGTCCCGCAGCCCCTGCCTGAGCAAGGGGACAAAGCGGCGGCTCCGGGGCCCCGCGTCTCCCGCCCGACGCAAGCCCGGCCTCGCTTACCTCTTGAGCGCAGCTCCAGTCCCTGGGCGCCGCCCTGGCGTTCGGCTCCGACCGCGGTCCGCCCCTGCCCGCGCGCGCCCGCCAGACCTCCGCGGCCCCTGTGCCACCGCCCCACGGTCCCCGCCCGGCTCCGCGCCCCTGGGCTCGGGCTCCCCGCGCCACCTCGGCGGGCGCCTGCTCTTTCTCCAGCGCGACCACGGTTCTCCGCCCCCTTCCCCTTGACGTCAGGCTGGTGGGGGGGTCGAGCGGAGGCCGGGGGCGGGACTCGAAGGCTAGCTCAGGAGGGTGCTGCGACCCGCCGGGACCCTTGGACCCGCCCGTTCTCCGCCCCAGGGCTCGGACCTCCGCCCCTCCGGGTGCCCAGCAGCCCCAGTGCTCGGAGTCGCGGGCTGCGCCACAGTGCCCGGAGGGAGATGGGGCGGGGAAGGGACTCTGGGTATGGCCGCGGGGTAATCACACTCACCAGGTTTTCCGAAGTGTCCCCCGAAGACCCCCGGCGGGTTGGGCTCGGGAGAGGGGCTCCCGACCCTGCAGTTGCAGGTACGAACGCGGGCGAGCCACCTCGAGGCGAGTGCCAGGGGAGGCGCACTGGGGAAACCGAGGCTTCTCTTGGGGCTGACCAGAGGGGTCTGCCTTTTGGCTCCCAACTCTCCCCGCTTCTAGGCCCGGAGGACAGCTGGTCCCAGCCCTCAAGTCTGGAAGGGGCTTCACCAGCCGGGAAGACCTGGCTGGTGAAATCAACAGAGGTCTGCCCCTGCTTCTCACACTTCAGGCAAAGCGCCTATCCCCAGAAAATGACTCCTGGTGCCACCGGAAAGCTGATTAACAAGTGGCATGAACCTGACTGTTCAGATGAAAGGGGCAGGGGGGAGCCACACTTCAGAACCACCGCCAGCCACCTCCAGAACCGCCAGCCTCCGCCCACAGCCACTCCTAGAAGCAACTTGTAGCTCTGGCCTCATGGACAGCGTGGCGTCCCTCTGCCAGCTGGTCTTCTGAGCTGGGCAGGTGGTCAGAAGAGGTGGTCCTCATGGAGGACACTCCACGGGCACCTGGAGACAGATGCTACCTCCTGGCTAGGGGCAAAAGGCAGAGGTGAAGGGACTTGAGGCCCTGAGGCTTGGAGGTAACTTTAAGCCAGGGTGCAGTCCTGGAGGGGAGGAACACTTCAGGCCGCGTCAGCAGATTTGGATCATAAATCAGTCCGACAGCAGCTTTTGTTCTGGGTTGGCATCTGAAAAGTAGGTACCAGAAGAGTAGTGGAGATAATTGAGAAAAGCAGCCCAGTTTGGTTTCAGTAACAATTGGGTCTTTGCTGGTACACATAAAGGCCCCTTCTCCCTTGCTGGCCAAAGCCACATTTCCCAGCTCTTTTTTACTAGGAAAAAGAAAAAAAGCTGTGGCCTTGGAGATGCTGGAGATAATGACCATGGGCTGGGCAGGGAAGGCCTCCTGCTTCAGCTGACAAGGAGGGAGAAGATGTGCCATCCTTTGTGTTGATTAGAGACCCTATATCTATTCATGTGGGATGGGGGTGGGAAACTGAGTGCCCTCACTTGTGTTCTGTATTTTAGACTGTTGCAACTTGCCTTGATATATATTTTCTTACTCCACCCTATGACCACCCTTTAAAAAGTAAGTATTTTGGGAGGCTGAGATGGGAGGATCACTTGAACCCAGGAGTTCAAGACCAGCCAGGGCAAAATACTGAGACCCTGTCTGTGCAAAAAAAAAAAATTTTTTTTTTTTTTGATACGGAGTCTCACTCTATCACCAGATCTGTTGTTGCATGATCTCAGCTCACTGCAACCTCTGCCTCCTGGGTTCAAGCGATTCTCCTGCCTCAGCCTCCCCAGTAGCCCAGCTATCTTTTGTATTTTTAGTAGAGATAGGGCTTCGCCGTGTTGGTCAGGCAGGTCTCGAACTCCTGACCTCAGGTGAGCCACCCGCCTCAGCCTCCCTGTGTTGGGATTACAGGTGTTAGCCATCACACCCAGCCCAAAAATTAAAAAAAAAAAAAAACTATCAGGGCCTGGTGGCAAGCACCTATAAGTCCCAGCTACTCAGGAGGCTGAGGTTGGAGAGTCGCTTGAGCCCAGGAGGTTGAGGCTGCAGTGAGCAGTGATTGTACCATTGCACTCCAGGCTATAGAGCAAGACCCTGCCTCCGCAAAATAAGGAAATAAGTATTGTTGCTCCCCTTTTGGAGATCTGTCAGAAAGGTTAAACAACTGGCCCAAGTCACGTAGATAATTAGAAAGGTCAGAATTTTTTTTTTAGAAATAGGGTCAGCTGAGCATAGTGGCGCGTGCCTGTAATCCCAGCTACTCAGGAGGCTGAGGCAGGAGAATTGCCTGAACCCAGGAGGCGGAGGTTGCGGTGAGCCGAGATCGCGCCATTGCACTCCAGCCTGGGTAAC